ATTAACATTCATCGAATGTCGTGAAAAAAAAAGGACAATTTTTTGATAAAAAAGAAAAATTCCCCGTTGAAAATGAATTCTATCGGATCGCCTTGAACGTTACACGAAATGGAGAAAAATAATCAAATAACTGCAGCGTACCAGATACGACCCGTTGAACGAAACCGTGTCACCACTTCTCAGATTAAATCGATCGAGCTAAAGGGTGTGTGTTTGCCAAGATAATCTAAACAATTTTTCATAACCTGTTTCACCGTTCAAACATCAAAAAAAAAAAAAAAAAAATGCAAACCGAAAACTCGTTCGTATGAAAACGCAATGAAAAATTAATTACTATCGATATCGGTGACGTTTGGCGCGATATTTTGCCGAAATTTAATTTCACAATTTTACAGTTTAATATTATAATCTGAGAACGTAGCGGACGATCGATTCTCCGTCGATTCGCGCGATGAAATTCTCGAATCGCAATTGGTATGTAGCCCAGGAAGCTCGCCTACTTAAACAATAACCTTCAGACGTACGCAATCTATTTACAATCCAAGATAGAAAGTAACCTGTGCTGTGATAGTAAAATTTTATTACATGTATAGTATAATCAAACAAAGAAACTAGACAAGAGCGGAATAATCATGTTTATATGTTCATGGAAAATGTGAAGATATAAATATATAAACGTAGAATGTACAAGTTGTACACATATAAAACACACACGAGTATCTAAAGTATTGTGTTTGTATCATTGAAAATAATGAAAACAATTCTCTGCCCAAACTTCGATTTCTTAAACTACATTTATAAAAACATGAATTCGTATAAACATCCGCAATGTGGTAATAACAACGCATTGCGTAATGCAACGCATGTAGGTCAAATCACCCAAGTTTCAAAATAAAATCGAAATTCAGTCTTTACGCATAAGAATAATTGAACTTCTATGTTACGAGATATCGTTAGTCTTTCGTATGTTAACGAAACAATAAGAAAATATATCGATATATCGAATACAATGTATCGCATATATATCGAATCTAAGAAAAAATAGTACATATAGTAAAATTATTTGAGAGAGTATTGCGCAATATTGTATATAAATAAACAACAAAATATCCAAAAATAAATAGAAGTTGAATCTCTTTCCTTTTGAACTTTTTTGATGATTCAAAGTTTTCTACATTTTCGTAGAAAACTATGGACGTCAAGCTATCGGTATACACATAATACCTATATTACCTATATCTTTCACTGTTTATGATGCCACTCGACAACGAGTTAAGCAGCCTATTTCCAAACGTAAATCAATGAAAAATGGTTCACAATTGAATTTGACAAATTACAAGACAAATCACTCAGCTCGATTGAATACCTTTCTGACTTAACAAACCCTATCATTATTCTACATCGAGGTATATTTTCAATTTCGAAGCAGGAACAAGCACCTGCCAATTTAAAGGTTAGCTCACTGGCAGATCAAACGGGCCGCGTGCGGCGCCTCGACTGTCAATCTGACAGCGGCCTGATATAACGTAATCATCGTTCATCGTACTCTTCTAGCACGGATACAAAGGAATCTCGCGAACCAGTCGTCTACCGCTCGTGTTACGAATTACAGAAACATTCGAACTACCCGTTCGCGCATCCCGATATACAATGTACGAATGTATGTTGATCCACTTACCGACGAGCAAGCACACAAAATCTATGATGATCTTTCGTAGAATCATTCTCGATGACCGATCCATAGTGACTCGAATTGAAGTATTCTTTCTCTCTATCTCAGTCTCCCTTTTTCTTTCCCTGTCCTTCTTTCTTCAAATCAAACTCTTAAAAAGAAGAACGTTCGGTACGGCTTAAACGTTGTTACACGATCACAAAGAGATAGACAAAACAAGTACACTCGGAGGGGGGCAATGTGCTTACG